TTAAGCGCTAGACATCGGCAAAAGCCCTTGGGCTGTTTCGAGTTGGTTCTTTAGAATGGGGAAATCTCAACAATTTTACGTATATTGATTTACATCGATATTGCATCAGAAGTCCAAGGACCATGGTGTGACTAAGAGCTGACTGTTTTTATTGTTGTTACATAGCACTTTTAGCTTGTAAATTAATAATGCAAGCTGTTGCAGTGCTACCATTCCTAGGCTATTACATTACATATATGCTCTTATGTTCATTGATCACATATATATGGTGTTTTTTGTGTGAATGTTTACATTTAATTTGGCTCTTTAATTTTTCTTTTGAAATGCAAGCTTGAAATGTCTATGGTCTACTTATTTGGCTTGCTTTGAAGAGGGGAAAGCAGTGTTGTTTCTGTAAATTCAGGAGGTTAATTTGGCTAGTAGGCCTGTTTGCATAGGTGATCTTGGCTGTTGCTGGCTCCCATGTATGCATAGGCATTGCATTGAATAGTTGGTGGGTATAGTGCCGCACAACAGGTGTTGGAAGGAGATGCACATTAGCAGTTAGGTGAGATTCTGAGTGCCACCACAGTACTGAGTTGAGTGGAGACAGTGGGTCCCTCCCTCTTGAGCTTACGACAAAACCTCCATGGCCATCCATTCCATATTCCATTCATAGCCAAAGTGAGTTTCATCCTGGTGGTGACGACGCTAAAGGTGTTTTTGCTATTCTGTGCATGAGGAATCATTTCGCATTATTCTTTGCTAAGCGTTTGGCAGTTAGAGAACAATGGTGGAGTGTTGCTTTCTTTTGCCACAGGAAACTCCAAACGAAGCAGCAGTAACAATATGCATAGTTGTTTGGTGCTACCAGCACGCTCTGAAAATGACCATTTGGTTGTGCAAAATAAAAGAAGGAACAGCGACTGAAATTGTGATGTTAAACTCAAGTGTTTTGCTATGCAGAGCACCTGGCGTTTCGTACAGTCCTCACTCAATCATACTACGGAATTTGATCGATGTGGCTGACAATCCTGTGGATGCTTGGTGAGCACCCTGAACCTGAAGTCTTTCCTTGTAACTCAATCTCTGATGAACTAAGCCTCTAGTTCTGTCACTGAAATTGTCGTGAGTCTTTGTTCTCAACTGGTCTATTTATTGTTGGGGGTCTATTGACAATGGGAAAATTTCGAAAAAAATTGCATAATTACTTTGTTGGGTTTATATATGCTAGAAGAAATCAGAGTGAGAGCTTGGTGTCAAGATGCATAATTACTTTGTTGAAATGGAGGAATCTCTTTGAAACTCAAGAAGATGCAAACATAACCTCGAGAAAATGGACAGCCACTTACCAAATGTGATATTCATCTTGAAATCTAATTCGAACTTGGTGCTTGAATCTTTCTTTATACAAGCTTGAAATGTCTATGGTCTGTTTTCCAGAACTTGGATCATGTACCTTATCAAGGATCATCAATCTACCACTAGGATATAAAGAGAGTGACATGAGTGTGCAAATGTTTGAATTGTTCCCTCTAGTACGAATTATACCTTTGACCGTTACCTTTAAGAAATTCATTTAGTTTAACATCATAAGATTTATTTTAGATTTACCATGTTGAATATTCTCATGATATACAACTCACTTGTTGTTAAACTATACAATTTTCTAGAAACTAATAGTCGCCATAGATAGGAATATTTGACGTATGATACATATAGAATGACAAATAATTTGGAAAGGAGGGAATATCAACTATTTATGACGTCCCAGTAATCAGTACTTAGATTCACACATATACACCCTCCAAAGATGGGCGGTAAATATAAAAAGAGTTTCTTGAAACAAATAAAATCACCAATAATGGGGGATTCAGAATAATGTTTGCCTATACAGTTTAGAGCATGTCCAAAAACAAAAAGGTTACAACTTTTTACGAGCTTTTGAAAAGCTATCTCTTCATAGTCAAAAGCCAAAAGACAGTTATTGAGATAGCTAAAACAAGTAAACCATTTACTGTGAAGCACAACCAAATAGGTTGACACTTTGGATGGTACTAAAGGGTGCACGCCAAGATATTAAATTTGTATAGTGGTGTTCTTTTTCCATTTGGGATTGACAGATCCTGAGACGACAAAATCATAGAAAAAAGTGCTTTTGAAAAAGCTATAAGCTCAGCAAAAATAAACACGTGTATGTGAGCATCTGCGTATGTAACTGGGTCTTGCAAAAAAAAAAAAAAAAGGCGTAACCAGACGATTCTTCAGGTGCTACTATTGCTGTGAAGCGATTCCTCGTAACAAACGGAGGAAAAGACCAGATATAACCGTATTGTCCTTTTGGCTGCAACGACAGGTTTCGTGGCTGATCAACGTCGACAATCCCAATCTTTTAAACATCCAAATAAAAATCATAGCTTACACTTGTCAATCTTTAATGAACAATGCATTGGGGGAGAAGATCATTGGATGTCTTCAGCATTCATCTGGATGTATTTCTTATCCACAAGACCACAACAGAAGCAAACCACATGGAAGAAATCACTAGCACAACCATCAAAGAATAGCAGTTCATATGACTATATGAGTTTCTGGTACAACAAAACATATTCGTCAACTATTCATCTTGATTTTCAGCTATATATAAGTAGTAGTATGATTTATTCTACTCAACATATACTGGGTGGCAGCGATGATCTAGAACCAAGCCACGTATGAAGTGTACTGCTGAATCTTGTTTGTCAGTGTGGAAGGACGATGACCCTGCCACAGAGGGATGCTGTGTTAATTGGGCCAGGTATTCATGGACCATGGAGTCTTTCAGTTAAAATAATGAATAGCATTTTCCAACTAATGAAAAACATTTATTTTGCACTGTAAATGGTGTAGCATTAGTTTCTCCAAACATTTGCAGCCCTGGGTTCATAGATGGGCATAGCTTATTGTTGCAATATACTCTTCCTGTTTGCACATACATAACACAATGCAGCCGTTGCCGGAGACTGGCAGAAAACCATTTGTGATTCAACAATTCTTACGTGATACTAAAAGTTGTGATGAATTTGGTCTTGGCGATTGACCTGCTTCCACTTCCAGCCTTCCTGCACTTCTTGGTGGCAGTGCATCTGAATCTGTTCTTGGTGACAAATTTGTTTCCAGTATTCCTTCAATTCTTGCTGCCTGCGCATCAAAGATCAAAGAATTTGGTTGATTTACATGTCAAAATGAGTAGGGATTTGGCCTTCCTTTACGTATAAGAAGCTTACAAGAATTGGGACGCAGGTAGCTGTCAAGAGCCACAGTGGTCTGACAAGAAAAAGGAACTGCGAGAAGTGAAGAACAGAGAGCGGAATTGTTTCCTGAATGAACTAATAGAGAGCTGAAGGATTTAAGTACAGAACAGCCACTTCACTTGTTCTTCCTGTAGGTCAAGGCATCGGTGACTACAGTAACTAAAAGATAAAGACTCTTTAGGTTCTGAAGGACAAGAAAGTAAACAAGAATTGGGATGCAGAGTTATGCAAGCGTTGTCAAGAACTGCAATGGTCTGACAAGAAAAGAAGAGCAAGAGCACAAGAAGAGAGAGGGCCGTGCCGGCGAATTGTTGCGGGTGAATGTATTCTTCTGATGAAACTGAATGGACTGAAGATTCCATTGTGAGAGATCAGATTCCTGTGGGCCCAACCTTGAATGAATGCCCTATATGTAATATGTATATGTACATGAAAAAAACCTGCCTGGCCGTTCGACATCCAGCCTCGTATTCCCACGATCTCCTCTACTCCACCGGCCGCCGCGCCGCCGTCCCTCTCCCGCACCATGGTCATGGGGGTGATCACCCGAGACAAGAAGAGGAGAATGGAAGAGGAAGAGCGCCTCGCCGACCGGATCAGCAGCCTCCCCGACGGCGTCCTCGGCGACATCGTCTCCCTCCTCCCCACCAAAGCCGGCGCCCGCACGCAGGTGCTCTCCTCCCGCTGGCGCCACATGTGGCGCTCCGCTCCTCTCAACATCGACCTCCATCTCCATGACTCTGAACGGCGCATCCATGTCGACCAGATCCCACGCGTGCTCTCCGCGCATCCGGGCCCCGGACGCCGCTTCTCAATCCCCAAGGACTATCTCAACTGCGCCGACAATCGCCTGGATCGCTGGCTCCAGTCCCCAGCGCTGGAGAATCTCCAGGAGCTCGACTTAAACTCGAACTGCCTTCTGCCCTCGTGGACATGGCGGCCGCCGCCGCCAACATCAGTGCACCGCTTCTCGTCCACCCTTCGCATTGCCTCCTTCTGCGGCTTCGATTTCCCGGATGGAACCAATGCCAAAGTGCTCCACCTGCCGCTTCTGGAGCAGCTGACCCTTTTGGATGTCACCATCTCGGAGGGTTCTCTGCATGCCATGCTAGCCGGCTGTTCTCTGTTGCAGAGCTTGCTCTTGCTTGACAGCAATGGCTTCCCTAGACTGCGGATAGTGTCCCGTAGCCTTAGAAGCATCGGTGTGTCTCAAGCTATACCAGCTCCTTGTCATGGACGCGCCATGTCTGCAGAGGTTGCTGTTTTTTGGAAGAACGAAGATCGACATCTCGGTAATCTCTGCACCAAGACGGGATACTTTGGGAAAACTCTTTGACAACTTTCCCAAACTTCAGTTTAGCACCACGGTTTTTCAGGTACATGCATCATTTTTTTACTTTAGGTTCACCAGCCTTCATCAGCTAGGGACCACCAAGTCTCTTTACTTGATCATGGTGTGTTAATTCTATGCTAAACTCAGGGATCAACCGTTGTTAGCATGACGACTGTGGTACACAGTGTGAAGGTTATAGCTTTATCTGATATCAAACTTTCCTTGGATGCGGTTATTGACTTACTGAAGTGCTTTCTCCACATGGAGAAATTATACATCAAGGTGATTCTCTATGCAAGAGAGTGCATCTGCATCTTTTATTTGGTTGCTTACTAGTACAGTATTATATCGATTATTTGTTCAAAATCTAGGTTGATAATTGAAATCATCTCTAGCTATCTCCACTTTGCTTTTTCAGGCAACAAGTGACTGTGTGGAAAATGCATGGTATCATAAATACCAGAAACTTATTGGCACCCTAGACATCCGTCCGAGGAAAATTGTGCTGGCAAACTATCAAGGCAACACGTCACATATTAACTTTGTCAAATTCTTTGTATCAAATGCGAGAGTGTTGGAGTCAATGAGGCTAGAGTTAGGAGATGGAAACTGGTATGGCGCCTGGCCTTGCTACGTAATGCGTATGGAGGAGAGTGGAGGGGCTGACTCTGGCGCTGACGGCGGCGAGACGCCGTGGCGGCGCTGGAGGAAGCGAGGGGGGTAGAGAGAGATAGGGTTAGGGTGCCAGGCGCCCAAAGGTGTCAAGATGACACAATCCCAGGCTAATCTCATTAATTTGCATAGTTTGATTCTTATACAATCCGACCCAACAACCTGACGCTAGAATTAAGGAAACTTCTAATCAAATCAAATCTAAACAAACTGATAGCTGACCAAGTCTGGAACCTTGGCCCCTGGCCGCTGGTGGTGTCCCTGCCCGGCACGTGGTGTGGCTCAGCCACGTTGCTCCTTGGCTCGGCGTTCATACGTCTTGCCGACCATAACATCTCTCCCCCCCCTCGGGAAACAGCTCGTCCTTGAGCTGGAAGGAGGGGTGAGCTTCGCGAAACGCAAGAACCGGCTCCCAAGTCGCTTCTGACACCGGCATGCCCGCCCATTCGACGAGGACATGCCACACGCCGCGGCGAAGTTCTGAGCGAAGGACGCGTTCTGGCCGCTGCAGCGGTCGACCGTGATGTAGAGGAGGCAGGGCCGGCGCACTGGAGGACGGTGTACCCCTGAATGGCTTCAAGACGCCAACATGGAAGACGTCGTGGATGCGTGCGCCCTCGGAAAGCTGAAGACGATAGGCCACCTCGCCGATGCGGCTGGTCACCTGGAACGGGCCGGTGTACTTGGGCGCCAGCTTGCCCCGGCCGCCAGGTACCAGATTCTTCGTGTGGCGATGGAGCATCCGAAGGAGCACCCAATCGCCGACGGCGAACTCGAGCTCGCGGTGGTTGGCATCGTAGAACCTGCGGGCGTGCTCTTGAGCTTGGAGAAGGCGAGCACGCACCTCCTCAAGGAACTCCTCCCGGTTGGCGAACAGGGTGTCCACTGCCTCCGTGCGCGCCTGTCCCGGGGCGTAGGGCAGCAAGTCCGGGGGCGGCCGACCGTACACCACCTGGAACGGGGAGGTCTGGAGCGCCGTGTGGTAGGATGAGTTGTAGGAAAACTCGGCCCATGGGAGCAGTCACGCGGGCGATCACCTGTCAAACACCGAAGATACATGGTAATGGTCTTGTTGACAGCTTCGGACTGCCCATCTGTCTGCGGGTGGAACGCAGAACTCATGCGGAGCTTGACGCCGGCGTGACGGAAGAGGTCGCGCCACACATGACCCGTGAACACCGGATCACGGTCGCTGACGATGGACTCCGGAAAGCCGTGTAGCCGAACGATGTCCTGGAAGAAGGCGCGGGCCACCGACGAGGCTGTGTACGGGTGGCCGAGTGGAATAAAATGAGCGTACTTCGAGAACCTGTCCACCACCGTGAGCAGGACGCTCTTGCCATGGACCTTGGGCAGGGCTTCTATGAAGTCCAGGGAGATGTCCGCCCACACACGCGATGGCACCGGCAGGGGCTGCAGTAACCCGGCCGGGTGTAGCGTCTCCGTCTTGTTCCGCTGGCACACCGCGCAGGACCGCACGAAGTCGCCGACGACGCGGCGGTCGTGCTCCACGAAGAACTCCGTGCGGAGGCGGAGTAGCGTCTTCTGGATGCCCTCGTGGCCCCCCGTGTGGGCGAGCTGGAGGACGTCGTCGAGGATCGGCGATGAGCTGAGCACGAAGACGTGCCCCTTGTGTAGCAGCAGCCCCTCGCGGACGCACCAGGAGTCACCGTGGTCTCCGGCGGCCACGGCGTCGCGACGAGCGCGCAGTGCGGGGTCGGTGTCCACCTCCCGTCGCAAATCGTCGAAGAGCCGGAAAGTAGGCACCGAGACGGCTGAGAAACAGGCCGCGTGCGCCCTGGAAAGGACGGACAGCAGCGGCGCCTCGCCGTCCCGCCTGGAGAGAGCGTCAGCGACGACGTTGGAGCGGCCGGGACGAAACTCCACCCTGAAATCATACCCAAACAACTTGCTAATCCAGTGATGTTGCGGAATTGTAGATAGGCGCTGGTCCAGCATGAACTTGAGGGCGTAGTGGTCCGTCCTTACGATGAACGCCAGCCCCCAAAGGTAGGGCCTCCAATGGCGCACCGCCTGAACCAGCCCGATCAACTCGCGCTCATACACCGCCACTTTGAGGTGGCGTGCGGTGAACGGCTGGCTGAAGAAGGCTATGGGCGCGCCATCCTGATGCAGCACGGCTCCAAAGCCCGATCCCGAGGCGTCACAGTCCACGACGAATGTGACGGTGAAGTTCGGAAGGTGCAGGACTGGTGCGGCGGTGAGGGAAGCCTTGAGGGTGGAGAAGGCGGTGTCAGCCACGTCCGTCCACTGGAACGCGTCCTTGCGAAGCAGCTACGTCAGCGGCGCGGCGATGATCCCATAGTCCTTGATGAACCGCCGGTAATACCCGGCCAGCCCGAGGAAGCCGCGTAGGCCGCGCACGGCGCGAGGGCGCGGCCAGGACTGCACAGCGGCCACCTTGGCCGTGTCCATAGCCACCCCCTCCCCAGTGATGACATGGCCGAGGTAGTGGACCGCCGAGGTGGCGAACGCACACTTCGACCGTTTGAGGTGGAGCCGGTGTGCGCGGAGGACGTCGAAGACCGCGCGCAGTTGTCGGAGATGCTCCGTCCAAGAGGAGCTGTAGATCAAGATGTCGTCGAAGAAGACGAGGACGCAGCGGCGGAGAAACGGCTTGAGGACGTAGTTCATCAGTGCCTGGAACATCGACGGTGCGTTGGACAAGCCGAAAGGCATCACCAGAAACTCAAAATGGCCGTGGTATGTCTGGAACGCCGTCTTGTGGGCATCTGCAGCAGCAACCTGCACCTGATGATAGCCGGAGCGCAAATCAAGCTTAGTAAAGAACTTGGCGCCATGTAGTTCATCGAGTAGCTCCTCGACAACCAGGATTGGAAACCTGTCTTTCACCGTGACCGCATTGAGGGCCCGGTAATCGACACAGAAGCGCCACGAGCCGTCCTGCTTCTTCACCAACAGCACGGGCGTGGAGAAGGGTGAGGTGCTGGCCCGGATGATCCCTTGGCGGAGCATCACCTCGCATTGCAGCTCGAGCTCGTCTTTTTGGAGTTGGGGTAGCGGTACGACCGGACCTCCACTGGCTCGGTGTTGGGCTTCAGATGGATGTGGTGGTCGCACGCCCGTGCCGGCGGAAGCCCCTCGGGTTCGGCGAACACGTCCTGGTAGGCGTCCAGCAGCAGGTCGACGAGGGTGCGCTCGGAGCCCTTGTCCAGGCAGAGGTCTGTGGTGAACAGGGCAGCCGGGGACACCGCGGCCGGCGCGCCGACGCCGGTCCACACCACCCGGCGACCGCGGAAGGAGAGCGCCATGCACAGTGTGGCGAAGTCCCAGAGGATAGGCCCCAACGACCTCAACCACGTGAGGCCGAGGACCATGTCGTACGGCGCTAGGGGAATGGAGAAACAGTCCACCGTGAACCTTTCGGTGCCGATCCGCAGCTAAACGCCGCGCGCGAGGCCCTGGCAGTCGACGCGATCACCGTTCGCGACGATGACGTGGGCGCCCGTGCTGTCAGAGAACTGAAGGCCGGCGCTGCGTGCTGCCTCAGGGTTGATGAAGTTGTGTGTCGACCCCGAGTCCAAGAGTGCCGTGAGCTCATGGGCACCAATCTTGACACACAACTGCATGGTGTCGCGCGCCCGAATGCCCATTGCCACGGACAGAGAGATCATCGGCTTTTTCGGGTCGAATTGGGCCTCTTCAGCTGGTTGCGGGGCGTCATCGAGGTCCTCCGGTTCCTCCACGATGTAATCGGGAGCCTCCAAGTAGAACAAACAGGCACATTTGTGCCCGCGAGCGAACGACTCGTCGCAATTGTAGCAGAGGCCGAGCTTTCGGCGTTCCGCCATCTCCTCGGGTGTGAGCCGCTTGAATGCCTTGGTGGAGTCGGCCGTGGTTCCCGTCGCGGACGCTGGCATGGTCGACGAAGCGCCCCCCGGCAGGCGTGCGGCCTGCTGGGGAGCTGGAAGGGCCGGACGCTGTGGCGCGTTGCGACGTTCGAAGGCTCGAGCCAAATACATGGCGTGCTGAAGGTTCTGGGGCTGGTGTAGCTCAACATCCACCCGAATGTAGTCAGGAAGGCCACCTGTGAAGAGCTTGGCGCGCTGCAGCGTGGTGAGGTCCCCCGCGTGCGCTGCCCTGGCCTGGAATGCCTCCATGTATGCGTCCACGTTGGCGCCGAACGGCAGCCTGGCCAGGTCGGCCAGGTGGTTGGTGTTGAGGGCAGGGCCGAAGCGCTGTAGGCAGTATCGACGGAAATCCGGACACGATGGGCGGCCGATGTCGGTCTCCAGTACAAGGTACCACTGCTGGGCGACTCCCTTCAGGTGATAGGAGGCCATCCACACCTTGTCGACCTCCCGAGTGAGCTGTCCGTGGAAGAACTGCTCGCATTTGTTGAGACACCCCAGGGGGTCATCGCGGCCATCGTACGTGTCGAAGGTGATCTTGTGGTACTTCGGCACCACGGCAGTTGTGATGGTGCCATGTGAGCGGAGGTCGGGAGCGGCATAGGAGCCAGGGCCCCGAACCCTGGAATTGGCGACGGGGAGGGCGGAAACCTGATCTGAGTGATCAGCACCCCCCCCCGGCGGTGGCGTTGGCGCCTGCTGGTAATGCTGGGGATGCGGCGGCGCCAGAAGGGACAGCGGCATGGACGGTGCCACCGGTGCCGAAGCGGAGGAGTTCTCAGTGGCGGCCGCGATCTCCGTGATCATCGGTGAGGAGGATGCGGGCAGGCGAGGGACGCCCCCAAACTCTAGCAAGCCGAAGTGAGGGAACGCCGGCCTGCCGTCGATGGCCGAAAGGCGCGCTCCCTGATCCGCCAGGTGGTTGTTCATGGCGGTCATCTGAAGTTGCATGCTGGCCAACATCTCAGCGATCGAGGCCAGGGTGGGCGGCGGCGCGGGCGGCGTCGTGTTCACCAGGGGCAACGACACGGCCGATGTGGGGCTGGTGGTGGATGCGGGTGAGATCGATGACGATGGAGCAGTGGTGGAAGCGGCGGAATCCATGGGCAGCGATGGAGCTAATACAGGTTGGTATGGCGCCTGGCCTTGCTACGTAATGCGTATGGAGGAGAGTGGAGGGGCTGACTCTGGCGCTGACGGCGGCGAGACGCCGTGGCGGCGCTGGAGGAAGCGAGGGGGTTAGAGAGAGATAGGGTTAGGGTGCCAGGCGCACAAAGGTGTCAAGATGACACAATCCCAGGCTAATCTCATTAATTTGCATAGTTTGATTCTTATACAATCCGACCCAACAACCTGACGCTAGAATTAAGGAAACTCCTAATCAAATCAAATCTAAACAAACTGATAGCTGACCAAGTCTGGAACCTTGGCCCCTGGCCGCTGGTGGTGTCCCTGCCCAGCACGTGGTGTGGCTCAGCCATGTTGCTCCTTGGCTCGGCGTTCATACGTCTTGCCGACCATAACAAAAACATTAGCAAATCCTGGATTGCAAGACAACGTAGGCTGCTCAATATAAAAAAGAGGGTTCACTTGATGTTCTGCATGCTGAACAAGTACATGATCTATCAATGACCTATCCTTTCCAAATGCTTCTTTAGTACTCTAGTTTCACCATTGAGATACATTTGGTTTTGAGGTGGGACGAGTATCCATCAATGTATGGTCACTTTGCATTGTGTTGGTATGTGTTATCTCTTTCCTAGAATACTATAATTTATCAAACGATTCGGTGCTATATTTTGTTCTAAATAGAGAAGAGCTCATGAGATGCCCATTGCTATTTCCCATCTGGTTGTCATTGGAATGATTGCAATTAGGGAGAATATGGAACCCAATTAAAACCATATGCCTTTTGTTAATTTGAGTGAATATCAATTTCAACCTAAGGTCTTTCTTATCCATTGGCAAATCACAAGGAGAAATCACTAAAATCACCATTAAATAATAAGCGCTTCATATGAGTTTTTGCTACAACAAAATACTTTTTATCATCTTCATTAGTATATATAAGTAGTAATATGATTTATTGTACTCGACATATATATATTGGGGGGTGATATGATGAACCAAGCCATGCATGCATTATCTTTCTTGAATATTGTTAAATCATGACAAAGTTAAATGTGCTCTGCTGACATCGAAGGCTATACTCATTGGAGAAGCACAGCTCTGCCATCCATGCCCTGAGGTAGAGTTGATGGACCAGTTTTTGCTAGTTAGAGCTCGACATTCTAGGTTCCACTTTCTCCTACAACACCAAGGACATAGACCACATGATCCGGTTCTTGTTTGTTGAATTTAGCCCTAGTTTCATAGATGGGCAAAGCTTGTTATTGTTCAGAATTCAACCATGCATCCTTTCCCAGTGTGGATGCTCCTCTAGGAGCTCTGCATCCTCTTCTTCCCTAAGCCCCTCAATTAATTTTTGCGACGTCCTCAGTGCCCTTCATGCCCATCTATCAAGTGTTCCTTTATTTGCTAGTTTGCCCGGAAACTAGCCGTTCTTCATCACGTAAGCGTAATTGATTATCCTTGTCTGGTTTGCTCATAAACCTTTGTTGTTGTTATTCACCACATAAGTATGATACCTATCGTTCCTTGGGCAAAACTCGAGGAATTTTTGATCTGCTCAGGGCAAACCCAGCTAAGCTCTAGCTATATAAGTCGGACAGGCAGGCTTTTGGTCCTCCCTAGGTACTTGGACCGACGAATTCAAACCAGATAAATCATCGTAGTTCTTTTCGTATTTGTCTTATCGAGTATGTATGCAACTCCTTTATTAAATTATTTCCAGTTTTCCAGGCATGTAGCTGGGAATCCGTCGATTACTCGATTTGATGTCTCTTATTTTATTATTCACCTTGTTACTTGTGTTGTTGCTGTTGTTGTTGTTGCTGTTGTTGTTGTTGCTGTTGCTGTTGTTGCTGTTGTTGTTGTTGTTGTTGTTGTTGTTGTTGTTGTTGTTGTTGTTGTTGTTGTTGTTGTTGTTGTTGTTGTTGTTGTTGTTGTTGTTGTTGTTGTTGTTGTTGTTGTTGTTGTTGTTGTTGTTATTCTTTATTCTTTATTCTTTATTCTTTATTCTTTATTCTTTATTCTTTATTCTTTATTCTTTATTCTTTGTTATTCTTATTCTTTATTCTTTATTCTTTATTCTTTATTCTTTATTCTTTATTCTTTGTTATTGTTGTTGCTGTTGTTGTTGTTGTTGTTGTTGTTGTTGTTGTTGTTGTTGTTGTTGTTGTTGTTGTTGTTGTTGTTGTTGTTGTTGTTGTTGTTGTTGTTTTCCAAATTTACTTGTGTTATTATTTGGTCTTTATAGTTATTGTATAAACACCCTATAAGGCCCGATTAATTGACTTGATCATTTTTATTGCAGTAATCTGATAAAAATAATCTCTTGTGATCAAACACCCTAAATTATGGAATCAATTATAATAATCTTATAATCCGTTCAACCAACAATAATCTACCACATACAAAATCCAAGGTTTCAAACAAATCACAATATTACAATCACCACCGGAATCCTCAAATTTGCTGAGTGTATTCCCTCGGGCACTCGGCGAACAAGTTCTTTGCCGAGTGCCGCGACAAAAACACTCGACAAAAAAACACTTGGCAAATAGGGAGTTTTGCCGAGTGTCAAAAAAACACTTGGCAAAGAGGTGGTTTGCCGAGTGTTAAAAAAACACTCGGCAAAGAAATAAAATCTTTTTTCTAGAAAAGAAAAAAAGAAAAAAATAATTTTTTTGCCGAGTGCTCAGATCTAGAACACTCGGCAAAAAAAAGAAGGAGAAGAAAAAAATGAAAAAAAAACTTTGCCGAGTGTGCGATCTGGAACACTCGGCAAACAAAAAAAATTTCCTTACTTAACCGCGTCCCCAGCACCCCCACGCCTCCCGTCCCCACCCCTTCTCTCTCCTCCCTTCCCCCAGCGCCCCTCTCCACGTTGACGGCGCCGCCTCCCTCCCCTACCTTCTTCCCCGACGCGGCCCCTCCCCTCCCGCTTCCCGGCGTCGCCTCCCCACCGGCGAGATACGGCCGGCCCCTCCCCTCCTTCCCCTTCTTCTTCCGCGCCAGTGGCCGGCCCATCCCTCCTCCTTCTTCTTCCATGCGGCCGGCCCTCCTCCCTCCCTTCTTCTTCCCTACCGGATCCGGCCCCTCTCCTCCCTCCCCTTCTTCTTCCCCGCCGGATCCGGCCCCTCCCCTTCCCTCCTCCCTTCTTCCACGCCATGGATCCGGGCCCTCTCTTCTTCCCCGCCCCTCCCTTCTTCCCCGATTCCCCCTCCCCTACCTTCTTCCCCGGCGCGGCCTCCCCACCGGCTAGATCCGGTGGCCGGTGCTGCCCCCTCCCTCCCTCCCTCCCTCCCCCAACGGTGAGATCCAGGGAGGGGGCCCGGTGGCGGTGCACCCCAAGCGGTGGTGGAGGGGTGGACCGGCATTGCGGGCACGGCATGGCGCTGTGGCTTTGTGGGCGGGGCATGGCGTGGCGCGGTGGAGCTGCCTCTCCTTCCCCAGCAGCCCCTCCTTATCCTGGTGGCCCCTCCTTCCCCGGTGGCCCCCCCTCGTCAAATCCGACGCCCTCTCCCCGGATCCGGTGCCCCCTCCCCGGATCCGGCGCCCCCTCCTTTCCCGGCGGCATGGCGGCGCGGATCTGGGCTCTGGTGGTGGCGGGCGGCGTGCGGCGTGGCGGCGGGCTTTGTGGTGCTGGCGTGGTTGTGGTGGTGCGTGGGTGTGCTGGCGGCGGCGTGGTGGTGGATCTAGGCGCTGGAGGAGGCGGCGGCCGTGGTGGGCGGCAGCCGGTGGTGGCAATTGTTTTTTTATTTTTTGCCGAAAATGTTTGCCGAGTGTTTTTTGGGCACTCGGCAACGTCTTTGCCGAGTGCACGACAAAAAACACTCGGCAAACTAGCGTTTGTCGTAAAAGGGTTTGCCGAGTGTCGTTTGCCGAGTGTTTTTGGGGCTTCGCCAAGTGCCCCTGGCACTCGGCAAAGCTCCTGAATCCGGTAGTGAATGGGACAATTGCATTACTGCCCTTGTTTTGAGCTCTAACAGCATGTTTGCCCCTGTTTTTTTTACTTTGCATGTTTGCCCTTGTTTTTCGAAACCTAAGCTACCGTGTGCCCCTGCTTCTAAACACCATGAGGTGAAGATAAATCATAGCCTAGAAAAAAATGTTTGGAAAAAAGAAAAAAAGAAAAAAAAGACTATAGTACCCGTTATCCAAAATACACAGAGTCCTCCCCGTTCTCTCTTTCACCCGACATCTTTCGAATCGGAAAAAAGAGCCCGAGCAACCGAGCGGTGCTAGGGCATTGGGAGCACGGCGGAGGTTGGTCGACGTGCTGGGGCGCGGTGGGCGAGTGGCGCAGCAGCAGATCAGGCGGCTGGCTGGTGCTAGGGCGCGGTGGGCGGGCCTGGGCGGCAGGCCTAAGCGGCGGTCGGCCGGTGCGGTGGGCCTATGTGTCTAGCCTGAGCGACGGCCGACACAGCTGCCCTGAGCGCTGGGCAGCCGGCACGCCTGGCTTTGTCGCCGGGCCTGGAGCGGCGGGTGGGCTGCCCCTAAGCGGCGCCGCGACCTGGGAACACGGCAGGAGAAGCGATGAGGGGGTGCACCGCTTGCTGCAACATGGAACCGCTTGGGTAAATTTCTTGGACTTCATCCTTTCTGCATCTGTAGTAGTGGTTGTTCGCTTAGGTCTGTAGGATGAGTTAGCTTATCAAAAGTGCTATGGTTTGTAGGACAAATGAAAACCACATAAAACTTGTTGTTATGGTTTGGGCATATTGGAGCTTGCCGGATTGGGGTCCAAAGACATATAGAAGGAGGGAAACCTTGACTACAATTGTTGATAGTCATGACTATAGCTTGCTGCAGCTAGTAGATTTCATTGTTGAAAGCTTTTTATGGGTTCGAAGCAATACATTTCTTTGTGGCGGGCACTGAGGATGATTCTATTGAGATTAAAACTGATGAATAGCTGTCCGAGTGGTTTGAGCTCAACAAAGAGAATGGGGAAGTCCACATTGTTGGTCAAATCAATG